AAAAACAATTAAAATTTTAGGGAATGCTGTTTTAGGTGTTTAGAGGTAATTTCAGGAATATACAACTATATCCCTGATGACTCCAATGAAATTACCATTAACCTACGCCAAGCATCCAAACATGAGTGTTCCCACAAACACACACACATGCAGTGAATGAAGCAAAATATACAATTTAACAAAAAAAGTTGAAGCCTGCTTGAGAGGGTTCTGGAAACAAACAATACACTGTATGCGCATGACGATCAAGTGTTTAAAGGGTAAATAAGTTCAATATTCATGACTTTTTCCATCCATTGTCTATTTCGAAGCCATTGGGGTATTATTAAATCCATGACACAACTATAATACATGACCACATGTTCACATCATATGCAATTGCAAACAATTTTCAAAGGAGTAGGGTACAGAATTGCAATATAACAACATATAAGCAAATTATACATGTCATGAACTTACCAGTTTGTGTTGAGTTAAATTTAAAAATTTTTATGACATCAAATATTATTTATTTATTTGCAAATCAAAACATTTTAAAATTCTCGTGTTTTGTTTTGTATTGCGCCCGCGATATATTAATGGTATTAACTGCTGTGAATATGATATGCATTTTTAATACATTACATTTGCGCTCAAAAGTTCAGGAAGTGAGTTTCTAGAAAGGATGAAAACTCTGTTTTATATATGGTATGTAAAAGGTAATCGTTGTTTACTGTTTATTTTGTATTCAGGTATGGGGAATTTAAGCGATGAGAGTTGCAAAACTTGCAAACGTAGTCTGACTAGTTTCTTTGACGTCATCATGCAACTATTTAATATTGTGCTACATTCATTATTCAATTTATTCACGGCAATTAGCCTTCTATAAACCATACAAATGATTATAGCTTATAGCCCACCTTGCCTTTAACATTGATCCTATATATAATGAATTAACATAACTAACTTGATTATGTTGCTAGTCGAGTATGGGACCTATGGTTCTTCTAGGACCTTCTAGATCCTCGAGTAGCACAATTAATATAAAGTCTCCATAAGGCGGTAATATTAAAGACTGTTCTTATTTATGCATGACCCAGAGGTGCATGACCTTTGACTATTAAGTGGCCAAAAATTGTGCCTACAGTAATCAACTTATTCCACTATCCAGGTTGCATCACTTTTGATTGCAAAACACCCGGGTTTATTAGCCTATACATGGATTTGCTAGCAAAATAGCAGCAATTGATGAACTTGGTGTTATACTAAGATTTACTAAATGTGTAAAGAAACAACGAAAAGTATATATCAATCAGAGTCATTATCTTGATCAATTTCCGTTGGGATCTCCAAAGAAAGTAGCTACATGTGCAGACAACATGAAACTCAGACTGCAGAAAATTTCACAATCCATTATCAAACTTATGTCACAGAAGTGGTAAAGGACATATGTGACAACTGAATAGTACCTTTTGTAAATTTTTTGGCCAGGGGTGGGTATTTATTTTTTAATTGATATTTGAGGTTGGGTAATCAATTTTGTTTACTTTTTAATGGTTGGGTCAGCAAAATTTTTGCTACGAAAAACATTTCTCTTCGGTGCCACCCCCCGCCATAAATAATGACCGGTCCCTTAGCTTCTCATCTTTTTTACAAATTCCTCCTGTAGACTTTAGTTTACTCGTTTCGAATGGTTTACACAGGGCTGTAAATACTCGTTACAATTGTAACGCGTTACTGTGTACTCGTTGCACTTTGAAGTAATTTTAACCCTTAATTAATTACGTTTTTAGACATGTAACGAAAAACGTAATTAATTACAAAAGCAAGGAACGTGTCCCTTTTCCGAGGAGCAAATTGAAAAGTCCTTTTCTTATTCTGTTAAAAATAAGAAATAAAAAATACAACGTTACGACAAAAATTCAGAAAAATGGCTGAAATAATTTTCAACGAGATCACTGCACATGACATGATAGTTTACATGAAGTACTATTTAATTTATTGCGAAAGTGGAACCACAATTTGTTCCGAGGCTCAGAGCGCCAAATATTGGCAAATAAAGTTTCAAGAGTTTACATGCTTCGATTTCCATGTAAATTTTTTAATATATTGAAATATCATCTTGATAAATTCTTGCAAATTTCATAGTTTATGCCGTTTTTATTTACAACTATACTGTTTAAGATATTATAATATATATATAGTAACAATATGCCGGTAAAGGAATTTGTAATTAATTCCTTTTTTCCGCAGTAATTTTTTCATTGTACTTAATTACATTTTAGAACAAGTAATTGTAATCAGGAATTTATTACATTTTAAAGCAAGTAATTGTAATTGGAATTACTAATAATTACTAATGGTAATCTTGCAGCCCTGGGTTTACAATTATCACAACACCTATGAATACTATCGTAATAAGCGGAAATTGCAGAAATTGGTTTTTATTTCGCTGGAAATGGTGGAAACGAACACCGCGGGGAAACATCTGCTCATGCCAAATTGTAAACTTTTAAAAACATTGCTATTTAATTATTTAAGGTAATTGAAACAAACAAAAAAATACATTAGACGGGTAGTTTAGATATTAATAAAAAGTTTTCTAACATTACAGTAAAAATCTAAAAAGAAACAGAATTTAAATTAAAAATTACCGTTTAAATTAAGACCAGGAGGCGTGTAACATTTCTTGAAGAATTGTCGAATACCGAACTTATGAACCTACGAAAAATATCTTTGTATGGTTCAGTTAAAGAACGTTTTATACAATAAATTTATCGACAGTCACTTTTGGTTTATTTTCTTGCATAAACTACTTCTTGCATATGTATAGACTATAATTATTTCTACTTTTTAGGTTGTCACGTTCATTATTCCGCTTGTATTTTCGGGCAAAACATCGAAGTCGCTCCTTGTCGCTTCCATTTTGAGTTTTTGACAACCATTTTGAGTTTTTGACAGTTTTTATTTTGCTCATGTACATATATCATTTTCTTATTTGTAGCATATGTAGAAGAAGGTCACCTGTGGGTGCACACAAACTGCGAGGCAGCGAGGCAATGGCAAGCCCGCGAGGCATACGAAGCATGCGACTGATGCGAGGAAGGCTGCGAGGCATGTGAGGCAATCCCGCGAGTCCTGACGGGCCCTTTTTTCTACTGCCCTTGGGCCATTGGTTTCCCTTGGTTTGAATGCATTTCCAAATTACCCAGAAATTCGTTTATAAAACCTTATCGAGTTTGTATGAACGTAGTTTTTCAATTGACAGATGAACAACGCAAAATAGTTAATATTCCATAATTTTTAGTGAAGCTTGTCACTTGTTGAGCTATTGTCTAGGTTAATGTTTACTTTTTGACGTTTTGAATGGAATGCTGTAGTTATTTAAAACTATAATGTACAGACAGAACTGTTATTAAAACTAGAATGTCGTTCACATTTGTCCGTTTGTCCAGCGTCAAGTTAAGTATGTTCAATATGTTAAATATCGTCAAACTTTGGAGTCAGTCATTGTGTCTGCCTCCCACTGGCACATCTGCCTGACTCGCACTTTTTTTCATGCCTCGCAGTTTTTTTCATGCCTCGCACTTCTACCTCGCATGCTTCGCACTTTTTTTCATGCCTCGCATCGTGCTTCATAATCATATGCCTCGCTGCCTCGCATGCCTCGCTGCCTCGCACTATAGTAAAACTCGTCACCTGTTTGTTAGTTTCGTAACAGGAGAGTCCAGAAAAATGTCTAGCGTAAAGTGTAAACACATACATGTTCCAACAGGGACCGCGGAGACGGGGGGGCTGGGGGGGCTTTAGTCCCCCCACTTTTTTTGACAGCCAAAATTATTAAAATAGAAATCTAAATGAAACTTTCTAAATTAATTAAACCTCACCCTTTAGCCCCCCCACTCTCTAATACGCTCCGCGGGCCCTGTCCAACTTATGTACTTTTATTGTATTTACCTAGCTTTAATTCTATCAGTTTACATATGCAGAGAAAGCATTAAACAAAAATGAGAAATTATAAGATTTCAAAAGCTTACAGATTGCAGACATATTAAATATACATTCAGTAACAACACGCGAATTGCTATAAATAGCAACGTTACAGTCTAGTATAATGATATGATGATTTGTTGTGCTTTTGTTGTAAGTAGGCCTATCACTAAAATATATTGAAAATCCTTCTAAACGATTCTTTATAAAGTATACAAAGCATATACATTGATATCGAAACACAAAATTCAAAGTTTTGAACAATTTGAGCTTCGTGACTCTGGTATAGACGTATGGGCCTAATGATTCAATTGTGTTACATTCCACTGAAAATCACCAAAATGAGCTTTTTTAAAAGTCTCGCGTGAGGCTCCAAGGCAATAACCCAAGCTAGTTTTTATTTATAACATGTACTCATGCTATACCATTCCGTGGATGAAATATAAACAAATTCACGATTATCGCACATAGTAAATTTCCCCTTCAAATCCAGTGACAAAATGCAATTGTAAAATTTGACTAAAAATAGCCAATTTCAACAACGTCTGTCAGGCCAGTTAAAGCCTCCTGGGCCATTCTATATTGATAAAATTGTTCTTTAATACTTGAATTATAGTCATTAAACCATCAAAACTATCTACGGGCAGTTTTGAATCTGTCGCGAAGTGATGAAATTGACCATGGCAGCGGCTTTGTCTGCGGCTAATTATAGCCTCCTGGAGACAAATTCTTGATTTCTGATATTTGTACGTTTATCGACCAAATATTGAATATCTAACCCAAACACCATTTATAACTAGGTATTACCTAAATTTGAGCAAAATATGAAAGAAATCTATTTTTCATCTATTGCCACTGTTTGCTCGATTTTTACGGACAGTCGCTCTTAATATCCAAAAATTTTACCTCCTCTCTTGAACCGTCGTAATCCCAATTGGAGATTCCCATACTCTCAAATAATTTTGTAGTTTGCGCTGCATCCATTGTGTCATTCGTGCCGAATTTCTTCAATAACTTATCCGCTGGGACAGTTGCAGTTTTAGCAGTGACAATCAGTGAAACGAGCAGGAATAAACGCCAAGCACATAACCACGCATTCCAGACACTCATATTAATTCCTCGAACGGCAATAGATAGCGAGTTTATAGGCATTTTATCCAAACTGATGATGAACGCATTTCTTAGCCAGCGAAATTAGCGCGCTATAAACTGTGAAAAAATTGAGACAAAGGTCAGTAGGTCACACCTAATTTAAGACATGTTATATATTGAATAATTGTTAATTAAGCCATAAATTTTTTTTTTGAATATTCAATAATTTTTTAATACGAGATTTGTATGTAGGCTATTTTCCAGATCAAATTGCTCTGCCGTATATTTGCTGCGGAGCGAGCGAGCCTGAAGCGAGCGAGCGTAGCAGCAGCCTAATATGTGCAGAGAGGGGATTTTGAACTAAATTTTATTTAGCGCATGGAATTGTGGCCGTGCGCGTTTTCTATGCGCAGAACACAAATTTTAAGCTCGCTCGGGTCTTCGAATTTTTATCGAATTTCTAAAGCTTTTTCAATTCTAATGTTACGCTTATATTTGTTTTGGACTTTGGCCACTGTCAGTTCTATATTCTTATAAAGTTTTGGTTTCTTAGTGTGATAAATCTGTGTATATAGCCTATATAATGTGGTAAATGTGCCTAGCACTTGATATAAAATCTGATCTTAATTTACCTGTATGTCAATGAGACGCACATGTTTAATATCTGTCACCTCTGATTGCCCTTTAACCCCTGGTCTTTGCTATTTCAGTATATATTGGAATATTGCTTCTTCTCAGTTCCATTCACAGCTCACTACTCAGTACTCACTAGTCGCAGCGAGTAATCACTGTGCTTGATATAATTTGTGCTGATTACTGTACTTCTACTTAGCTTTTAATGCTCGCAGCAATCCCTACCTTGCAGGTACCCTACTTTATATGGATAGACCAATGCATATTATATTAGTTTTAAAAACACTATATCCTCCCAAGAGGCATTATTTGTAATTAGCAGACGTAGGTGAGCCGATGAATATTTACTTAGTGAGTGCAAACAGGTATTAACTGTCAACAGTTGGTATCAACACTATGATTTAAATTTGAACCGCGGCTTATCCTGCCGCAAACTGTGTATAGGATTTCAAGAACTCAGAAATGGAATAGGTATTACGCACGATATATTATCAATTAAAGTTGCAACATTCTGAATGATATGGAACATTATCAAGTTAGTGGAAATGTAATTCATGATATTACTGATCATCTTCCAAACTTTCTTATCTTGGATAAAACACCTTTTGTACCAAAGAAATGTAAGGTCTTTAAAAGAGATTATTCAAATATGAATGAAAGAGATCTTATAGAGGAAGTACAGTCCATAAGGTGGGAAATGACTGCCAGCTGGAAATGCTAATGAAATTTTTAATTCTTTCTACTCCTGTATTTCTACTACTGTTGATAGACATGCTCCCCTAAAAAATTGACAAAAAGTGAAGTTAAATTTATGGCAAAACCCTGGATTACAACTGCTATCCGTAAATCAATTAAGACAAAAAATGAATTATTTAAAATCTATTTAAAGCACAAATGTGAATATAACCATGGCAAATATAAGATATATAGAAATAAATTAAAACATTTAATAATTGTAAGTAAAAAGTTATATTTTAATGATTATTTTACTAACAATCTTAATAATATTAAAGAAACATGGAAAGGCATTAAGCAACTTGTAACAATAAAACCAACTAAATCGTTTGGATCTAGTAAAATAAAAGTGAATAATACATTACTAACAGACCCAAAAACTATAGCTAATGCATTTAACAACTATTTTTCTACTGTTGGTCCAAATTTGGCAGCGAACATTCCTACCGTGAATACGTCATTTCATAATTTCTTGTCCAATGCACGTAATCCACAATTGAACAGTTTTTATCTGAATCCCACTAATTCAGTGGAAATTGAACAAATAATTGGTAAATTAAATCCGAATAAAGTTACTGGCCCATACAGTATTCCCACTAAATTAATTGTATGCTTAAAATCACTTCTCAGCGTCCCTCTGAATATTCTGTTTAATTGTTCATTTGAAACAGGAGTTGTGCCAGACAAATTAAAAGTCAGTAGGGTCATTCCTATTTATAAAAATGGTTCTCATTTGGATATGTGCAGTTTTAGACCAATTTCACTTCTTTCTATTTTTGATAAAATTCTTGAAAAACTTATGTATAATAGGCTAATAGAATACCTGGAGAAATTTAAAATATTAAGTGACAATCAGTTTGGATTTAGATCTTCTCATACTACTACACAAGCTGTTATGATTATAACTGATAAAATTAAAATGGCTATTGAGGATAAATGTTATATATGCTTGCATGTGGTATTTTTCTGGACCTAAGAAAAGCCTTTGATACTGTTGATCATGGCATCCTCCTTGCTAAACTTGAATATTACGGAATCAGGGGGATTGCTGGGAAATGGTTTTGTTCTTTTTTAAGTAAAAGAAAGCAATTTGTTAAAATAGGCGATGAGACCTCTAATTACTAATCAATCGCATGTGGTGTTCCACAAGGTTCAGTTCTTGGACCATTGTTGTTTCTTATATACATCAATGACTTAAGTGGATCGTCAACTGTGGTTGATTTTCATCTTTTTGCGGATGATACAAATCTTTTTTTTTCCATAAAAATTTACAAACAATGGAAAGTGTCATAAATCATGAGCTAAGTAACATAAATACATGGCTATGTTCAAATAAGCTATCATTAAATATTGAAAAAACTAATTTTGTAATTTTTAAACCTCATCAAAGAAAGATTAACTACTCTATGAAGTTAATTATTAATAATAAATTAATAAAGCACGTTAGGAGTGTTAAATATCTAGGAGTTATGTTGGATTGCCACTTAAATTGGAAGGATCATATTTCAAGTATTTGTAAAAAGCTGTCTAGAGGTACAGGTGTTTTATGCACAGTCCTTCACTTTGTAACAACTAAAATTCTAATCCAGTTATATTATTCTATTATATATCCTTTCCTTATGTTTGGCTGTACGGTGTGGGGTATGATTTATAATACGAATATTCAGCCTATTTTTCTCTTACAGAAAAAGATTATTCGTATTATGACTTTTTCTAAATTTGACGCACATACTAATCCTATATTTCATAAATTAAAACTACTAAAAATAAATGAAATAATTAAGTTATATATTGCAATTTTTATGTATCAATATGTACAGGGTATGTTACCTAACGCTTTTGATTCTTTTTTCACAACTACTAATAGTATACACGATTACAGTACCCGACTTGCTATGAAATCTACTTTTCACCTTCCAAAAATAAGAACTAATTTTGGTAAATTTAATATTAGATATTTTGGATCGAAAGTCTGGAATGGCATTGAAGATTCCTTGAAGTCTCTTACTTTTTTTCGATTTAAGAAACAGTTAAAGGAATCTTATCTTAATTAAATTATATGAAACAAGTTGATCTGCATCGTTTTTTTCTTTTTTTAATTTGATTCTTGTAGTCGCATGCTTTCCTTTTGTGTGTGAGTTACGTAGTGTAGTTACACCTTGTTTAAATTCCTCATCTAAATTTTATATTCAAATATTATAGGAAACCTGACTAGTTTAGCTTTAAAGTTATTTCAGGTTTCCTGTCACTATTATTGTTGTTTGTTCAAACTCTATGTATGCTCGTATTGTAACTTCTAGTGTGAATAAATTTTTTGTTTGTTTGTTTGTTTGTTTGTATTACAAGACTTCTGTCGAAATTCAGCGTAGAACGGCAAATAAGAAAATAGGATAAAAATAATGGCACCTTATCCGTGCGTGACTATATAAGGGAAAGAACTGTCTGCGGTAATTCATACGTGACATATGAACTGAAGCATTTTGTTCCTATTTTTGTTCCTATAGTCTGTATTTTTAACTTATTTCCCTTATATAACGCGTCTAGCTGTTTAGAAAATGTTTCACCTATCAGGCTTCGCTACACTGCATGAGACTGAGTAGAAATGCAGTTTTAGCTTTTCGCTTTACCATTATGGGTCAAAAAGAAAATGGTAGATCTACTTTACCTACTCAACTTGTTCGTACCTAATGCAATCAAGAGGCTGGTTTATTGATTTTGATGGCGGCAAACATGATGGCGCCTTTGACAGGACCGAGGTGTTTCTCCGATATATACGATGGTCATGGTGTGTATCGATTACTAGAAAAACGTGAGTACGTAATATTTGCATGAGTTGCGCGTAATAGGATGTATGTTATGACGTAGTTACAGCATAGAACGGAAAATAAGAAAATAGGATAAAAATAATGGCACCTTATCCGTGCGTGACTTATTTAAGGGAAATAACTGTCTGCGGTAATTCATACGTGACATACGAACTGAAGCATTTTGTTCCTAGTTTCGAGGTCAAGGCAACAGGGGGAAAATTGTCTGATATATGTTTCAACTTGATTGATTTAAAAACAAACACGACATGAACGCCCATATTACGCTCATTTTCTCAGTAATCTTCATTGTAGCCTACAAATTACACTTGCGGACAAGGGTCTGTGTCAAGGCTACACGACGGCTTTTTATTGTTTATATTGTTTTATATTGGCTTTATAATCAGGGATTATATGCGTTGAAATGCAGCCATTTGATTCCTTTCTTGTTTTATTTTATTTTATCTCAATTCAACGATTACACCTCCGCCTAAGTCAAATTATGTCAACCTCGTTTCATTCGGTTCTGTGTGAACATGTGGAACCGGACGAATTTGAGTACGATAAGGTTCCAAATTCATCCAGTCCCGTGTGAATGTGGACTTGGTCTCGAATTCGTATGGTTGACACTTGACTGTGCTGGAATTCGTCCGGTTTCATCCGGTCCCGTGTGAACTGGCGCGAAAAATCACAGTATACAAACATCACCCCAAGGAAAAATTCGTTATTACTGATATTTAACTATAGAAAATACATGCATGCAGAAGCCCTCGCCTTGCTGACAAAACAATTGTATCTTCCGAACATGAAGTATCTGAAGTAGTCATGGTAACACGATAATTTTTGAAGAATATTCTTACAAATGAAAAATCGCCTAAAAATATCACTTTTAATTACAAAATTATCAATTTCTCAACATATATATGTTAGCACGGTTCTTCGTCTATTAACCGTGA